TATCTCGACAACATTAAGGACTTCTAATGGTTACTATAGGTCCATACTTACAAAAGCATTGATAGGAAATGTAGCTAGCTAAAAAATGAGAAACACCACAAATATAACTTATAGACTTACAATAAATTGAGGATGTTAAAAAAGGTCATTATGATATTAGTGAAGTACAAAGAGAAACAAAGATTAGCTATAGGAATTTAATCTTCAGACATTGTTTCTGTTTTCTTGATGAAACAATTTAGATTCTTGACAAAAAAGTTATACCTTTCAACTTTCAAGAGCCCTCGAAAGCAGCTGAATTCAAATAACAGAATAAAAAAAATTCAGAAAGTTTTCAATATTCATTGGAAAAGAAAAAGCAGAATAACTAAAAATGAAACAGGGAAGTAACACTTCTGTATTATTAAATTATGTTTTTTTTTTGAAATCATGTAGCAAATAATTACTCAAAACCTTAAGACCATTTGGAGCACTTCCATAGAATCCATCTGCAAGCAGCAGGCTAATTATACAAGGAATCACCTCGGGTTCCACTAATGGAGGAGGATTATGTCAGTGATTGCTGCAACAACACATGGTAACTAAAAGCACAAGAACTAGCAACAGTAATCTAATAAAAGCACTCAGTGGGTAAACTAGAGGGGTCCCATTTTCATACTAAAACTCCCAGTCAATAAATCCAGTGGGTCGAAAATTTTCATATTATATTTAAAAGAAAATGGTTTCAATCTGTAGACTTCTCTCTCCAATCTAAACTTATCTTAAAGATTATGGCATACCTAAAGAATTTCCTTCTGCGGCAGTAGTGAGTAGTCATTCTTTTTTGGTTCAAAGTAAGAGGAACTACACCCAGACAACCTCTGTTGATTAGCATCTCCAAGAACATGCAGCTTGAGTCATTATATCCTTAAAAGAGTAAGTGAAATCCATTATTAAGTTAAGATAGCTCCATAGTTTAAAGATATTTAAAATGACTTGGATTGAACAAACCTTTTGCAGTAGCATCAACAAGTACCCAAGTGTCTAAGAGCAGCAATATATAGCCAAGTGAATTGGTTATGGTAGACAATGCACCACTCTATGACAAGGTGAGTTTTCCCCATTTCTGCAGTGATCTGCCAAAAAGGTCAAAGGAGAAACTGTGACGAAATCAATAAAACATTCAAGAGGCTTTCAAAAAGAATAAATAAGAAATAAGACAGCTAAAAGAAGAGTGTTAATCCCATAAGGCTAAATGGCAAATAACATTTAGAAAGCAATAGCATCTAGGATGATCAGACAGCAACACACAGTATCACAATCACCTTGGATGCCTAAATATAACAGAAACACATAAGACCTGCATTAACTACTTTCCCAATTTCCATTACACTTTAATTAACTGAATCTGATAACAATAAAAAAAAATCTCTATTAGTTAATCTAGGTCCAAAGTAATACAAAGTTTTGGTGAGTGCACAGATCAAAATGAGAAAGAAAAGGCAAGAAACTGGGTCTAGTACCTAATACAACACAGCTAGCAGAAAAATTAGGAATGCCTCAAATAGAACTAATAGTAAATTGAGGTTGCTAAACAAATTCACGTGCTTGACCTTAATGAAACAGACTGTTACATAAAACTTACAATAAATTCAGGTTGTTACACAATTTTCTTAATGGAACAGTTTACATTCTTCATAAATGAATTGCCTTCCCTTGAGGAATGTGACATAAAATGAAAAATATCCATCAGACACAACTTTCTTTATCTTAGCTTCTCATCAGATACAAGAAATAATTCATAAGACAATGCAATATCAATGGCAATAACAGGTAAAGACATTTTGCATTTTTCAATTCAAGAATAACTCTCAGCCTTTGACTGCAAAATAAGTACCTGAATATCAAAGCCATCAAAACAAGTAATTACTTCAACCATCACAACAGAAACCTTTCTTGAGGATGTAATCTGGGGTTGTGTCTCTCTTTTAGGATGCTCGCAGGATATACCATTTGTAAGAAAAATATCCATTGATGAGTTCACAAAAAGAACAACAAATATTATAATTGTAATTTATCTCAGCAAAATAAGATTAAATTGAATGATCTCTACTCCATGTGGTATGGCCTACATTGACTAGCCATGAGTACAGTGTATACACCTCAGAATTTAAATTAAAGTTTACAAATGAGACCTAGAACTTACATATGTTAATGCTAGAAACATCTTATCTCAACCTTGGCATATGCAGCATAAAAAATTTTAAGTAGTAAAGGCAAAACACATTAATTTATTCCACCCAGAGAAAATTATAGCTTTCCCCTCTTAAGATAGAAATTGATATCTCTAGGCAGAAGGAAAATTACCTGCCTATGAATCAGACCACCAGCCAAAGAATAAGATTTGAGTTTGGCGATGGCTAGAGTGTGGGCCTTCGGAGACCAAAGAGGTTGGGATCGTCCCTCACCCAGCCCTCCTAAGTAATAATCCTCGCTGAAATCACTTAGTTGTCATCAAAGATTAATCGGATGCATCTCCGCTTCTACACGTTTGGGGAAAAAGGAGATTTGGATTGGGGGTCGAAAATTGAAGAATTTTTACATTTTATTCAGTAAAACGCACTGTTCAAAGACAACCAAAACAAAGGAAGAGAGAAGAAAATATGCAAAGGTAAATAACATCAAAAGAAACAAATTAAACCAAGAAAAATACATAAGCAATTGCATGCAGAGCAAATAGAAATCCAAAAGAAAACAACACAAATTCATACATAACCATAATTCCCACACAAGTCAATACAACTATATATCAACAATGAACATGAAAAAGATGGAAACAAACTCAAGAACCAATTGTTGTTAGAACTCTCTGGAGTAGGAAATCAACTGCACCTACTTGCACCTATATAAAACAAAGCAAAAGTAGAAAAATTAAGTGTCATTATTATATAACATGCCTTGATTTTTATGGTTAGAGCTTATATAGAACACAAATATTATAAAGAGTTGTAGAAACTTACTTAAGAGCATTGATTGGGTTTTTGGGTTTTTCTCTGCTTATGACTTCGATTGCAACTTCCAACTAATTTCTGTTGATATTTCTCCACTTTCTTCACTAACCACCATGGTTTTCCTATAGTGAAGGCAATGTATCCTAGACTAAGTCCCAACACCAGTCCACACCCATAGCCTGCCAATGCAAACTTCCACTCAAAGACTGCTGTAGAGTCATCTTTTTCATCAAATTGTGGTGAAGGTGGTCTTGGTTCTTCGCATTTCTTTGTCAATGGGAGTCCACACAATCCAGAGTTCCCAATGTAGGAATCATTTGAGAAAGTACTAAACTGCTTCCCTTCAGGTATGTGGCCCATAAGTTCATTGTGTGAAAGATTCAAAACTGATAGGAATGTCAGCTTTGTCAATTGCTCTGGAATCTTGCCTTCAAGCTTGTTTGATGAGAGATCTAATGACTCGAGTTCTACTAATTTCCCCAATGATGACGGGATTTGACCATTGAGACTATTGTGGGATAAGTTTAGCAATAAAAGTGAATTGAGTTGTCCTAGCTCGTCAGGAATCGGTCCATGAAATTGATTGCTCGAGAAATCTATAGTTGTGAAAATTTTCAAGATCCTTTCAAGCTCCACCTCATTCCCTTTCATCACTACCTTCACAGAATCCATACAACCATCAAGAAACATTAGGCAAAGTGCCGAACCTCTATAACATCCCAGACGGCACCCAATGTATTCCAATTCGACTTTATCAACTGGAGCTACATCTCTCATACCTTTCAAAATTTTGAAAAAGTTACTCGGTAGGAGACCCATAAAATCATTTTGTGCGACATCAATGATTCTCAACTGAGGGAAGTAAAATGCAGGCGTAGAATTGCTGATGGCACCATGAAATCGATTAGATCGAAGGATGAGAACTTTTAGCGATTGAAGAACACCTAACCAATGTGGAAAGGTATCATTCAAGTTGTTGTTCCCCACATCTAGAATTTCCAAATTACTGCAATTAACCAAAGACCGTGGCAATATCCCTTCCAACTGGTTGCCATTTAGGCTGAGAGTTAACAAGACACAGTTGTTGACAAATGAATTTGGAATCCTACCATGGAACTTATTCATCCGCAGATCCAAGAAGTTGAGATAACTCAAGTTTCCAAAACATTCTGGAATTTTTCCTCCCAACCTATTATTAGCTAAGACTAGAACTTCAAGATAAGTAAAATTACAATAAGAAGAAGGGATTTCGCCAGTCAAATTATTCCCTGAAATGAGGAGTTGATCCATATAATCCCCAGTTGTTGATAGAAAAGGAAGTGATCCTTGTAGTAAGTTGGATCTGAGGTCAACAGTTCTAAGATTTCCAAAACCGAATGAATCTATACCAGTCAAGAAGTTATAAGAAAGGTTTAACGTATCCAATGACAACCCTTCTATTTCCCATTTGTGAATTTGACCAGAAATTTTGTTCTTGGAAATATCCAATTCTCGCAAACTCTCCGCCCTCCTTAAGAAACTTGGGAACTTTTGTATGTTGCAAGAAGAGAACATTAAACACTGAAGGTTTGGAAAGGAATAGTTGACAGCAGTGCCATTATTGCTCAAAGACAACAAACTATTATTGGAAAGATCAAGATCCTCAAGGTTGACAAGCTTCGAAAGCACGTCGGGTGTAATGGTGCCAGTTAAGTTATTTGAAGAAATGTCGACTCCAATAAGATTTACAAGATCAAAGAAGGAGCTAGGAATTGAACCACTTATCTCATTATTGAGCAAATAGACTTCCTCTAAAAAGAGATTGGGCATCTCAACATGATCAATAGGTCCGGTAAGTTTGTTGTTTTGGAGGTCTAAATAGGATAAAGAAGGCAGAGAAAACAACCAAGATGGTATACAACCTGTGATGAAATTATTATCCATTAGAAACTCATTTAAAAATGAGAGTCCACTTATATTGTGAGGAAGAGGCCCTATTAGCATATTTGATGATAGTGACAAAGAAGAAAGATCAGTGAGGTTGAAGATTGATGCAGGAATTTCACCACCAAAATTGTTTGCATATAAGTTCAAATAATCTAGCTTGTGCATTTTTCCAAAAGCATCTGGTATTTGCCCTCGAAAATGGTTGGAAGAAAAATCTAGTTGAGTTATCTTTGTAAGATTTGCAAGAGATCTAGGAATTGATCCATAAAATTGGCAGCCACGAAGATTCAATTCCTTCAGGAGTTTAAGATTTCCGATTGAATGAGGCAACTCTCCTGAGAAGTTTGTGAATAAAACATTCAAATACTCGAGGGTACTACTCTGGTTTGACTTGAGCAAATTACCTCCTAAATGAGAGTTGGAGCTTAAATCAAGAAGCTGGAGAGATGGAAGCTGAAAAACTTGGCTTGGAAAGTTTCCTTGCAAACTACAATTGCTAAGGCTCAAATGCTCCAAGGAAGAAAACAAGTTTAGCAAGGAAGAAGGCACAACCAAAGACATATTCACAGAATCAAGGATAAGAAACCTTAATTCTGTTAAGTTATGCACAGGCATTTGAAACTTTATGTTATCAAGAAACAAACCATCATTAAGAGAGAGATCGAGTGAAACCAGTTTCTTTAGTTGAAAAACTTGGCTTGGAAAGTTTCCTTGCAAATTACAATTGCTAAGGCTCAAATGCTCCAAGGAAGAAGTCAAGTTTAGCAAGGAAGAAGGCACAACCAAAGACATATTCACAGAATCAAGTATAAGAAACCTTAATTCTGTTAAGTTTTGCACAAGCATTTGACACTTTATGTTGTCAAGAAGCAAACCATCATTAAAAGAGAGATCGAGTGAAACCAATTTCATTAGCTGAAAAACTTGGCTTGGAAAGTTTCCTTGCAAATTACAATTGCTAAGGCTCAAATGCTCCAAGGAAGAAGTCAAGTTTAGCAAGGAAGAAGGCACAAGTAGAGACATATTCACAGAATCAAGGATAAGAAACCTCAATTCTATTAAATTATGCACAAGCATTTGAAACTTTATGTTATCAAGAAGCAAACCATCATTATCAGAGAGATCGAGTGAAACCAAGTTCGTTAGCTGAAAAACTTGGCCTGGAAAGTTTCCTTGTAAATTGCAATTGCTAAGGCTCAAATGCTCCAAGGAAGAAGTCAAGTTTGGCAAGGAAGAAGGCACAAGCAGAGACATATTCATAGAATCAAGGATAAGAAACCTCAATTCTGTTAAGTTATGCACAAGCATTTGAAACTTTATGTTGTCAAGAAACAAACCATCATTAAAAGAGAGATCGAGTGAAACTAATTTCGATAGCAAGAAGATCTCATCAAATAGGAGAGAGCCATACATGTATCCTGAACCTGCAAGGTTAAAGATTTGTCACATTGAAACCAGTTTTGGAAGCATGGAGATTTTAAACAAAAGAAAAAGAAATGAATCTCGTACCTGAGAGATTAAGATATGTCAGACTCTTCCAACGGTTGAACCCAAATGAGATGTTAGGATAATGAAAATAATTGTCAGAAAGGTTGAGACTCTGCAATTTCTCAAGGCGGAAGAGACTACTATTTGTAGTTAGATTGGCTTCAAGACAATTACTGCTAAGATCAAGGCCAATCACGTGACCATTCCGCTTGTCGCATGCGATGCCTTCCCACGAGCAGCAGTCTTTACTCTCGTTCCAAGTTTGTATTATAGGACGAGGAGTACAAAACCAGTTGTCCACCAAATTAGTGGTGCTTTTGAAATCAAGCAATGCAGAACGCTCTTCAGGACGGCACAAATGTGGTGATGAATCGAGAGAAGATTGAAAAGGTGATGAGCTTTGGACTCGAAACTGTAACAACATGAAGGAAAGGCAGAGGATTTGGGAAAACCGTATTAACCTCCCCATTTTCTTAAAGATGAACACAATTCACCAAACAAAGGAGTGATGGATTATTCAAAATTGAAGGGCTGGATCCCAGTATTTATAGTCTTTACTAAGGTACAAAATAAATACCTAATAAAATTTTAAAAATCTTAAATAAACACCAACTCGTAAATGATCTCACATTCTAATTCAAATAGTATACTAATAGTTGGATTTGAGAAGCCATGCGCAGAGCATAAAAAATCAAATATTTTAAAAGTAAATATGGGCTTTTTGAATCCATTATATTATTGTTTTTGATAAATAAAATTAATTAATATAACAATAACAATTGTATATAACTCAATCTTTCTTTTGTATTATCATAGGTCATTATCATCAATCATTAATTCAAACAAAAATATTTATTTTTATATTTTAATAAAATTCTTTTTTAATACTACAATGTTACTTTAAATTCGCTTTAACTATTTTAATTATATTTTTCATAATAATTTTTTCATATATATTTTTAATATTATATTTTATATACTATATTATAAAAATAATTAAAAACCTTAATAAATCTCCAATAAATATCTAATAAGCCTTTTAAAATTCTTAATAAAATTCTCAATAAATCTCCCTAAAATTCTGAGTAAATATGTAACAAAACTTTTAAAATATTCAGTAAATCTTCATACAATCTTAAATAATAATAAATATCTTAAAGAAAACTTATTTAAAAAGCTAAAACCCAATTAATTCTGCTCATATGAAATTAACTTCAATTTATAGTTTTATATCTAATAACACATAAATTAATCATAATTTATTTTTAACGAAAAAAGATATCTAATGGTCAATAAGTAATGATATATAATAGTAATAAAAGGAGATAGAAACACAATTTATGGTTTTATATGGAATTAAAAAGTTCTGTCCAAAAAAAGATATGTAATGATGTAATGATTGTTGGAGGTGCAAAGAGTGACTAAAAAATAAAAAAATAATACAATGAAAGAATAAGAAAGAAAAGAATAATAACAAATAAATTAGAAATATTTGACTGCACTTTCATGGCACACTAATCAATGATGTCTCCGCTTCTGCATTAACTTCTCTTTTTTATAATATTTATTTTCATTTAGAGTAAAATGACTACAACCTAGCCTTTCCATCAATATGTATACATTATAATGACCAAGAAATGCACTTTTTTTTTAACAACAAAATTAATATTTATTAATATCCGGAGTATAAGGGGTACCCCAAATCCATACATCATACTTGACAGGTATCAGATTAACTGTTATGGACGCCTGCCATCTAGTGTCGACACCCAAAATATATGTCAACACCACGTCCGTGTCGGAGTTTTGGATGCTGACCATAACAGAATGTGTCGACACTATACCCGTGTCGAGCTTCTGCCCACTATTGTAGTTTCATTCATAAATCACTGTTCAGATCCACAAAACCTTCCCATTTGTCATCCCAACTTACATATGACCAAAATCACTAGCTAAATCAGTCCTGGCCCTGCAATTATTTGATTGGTGCCCTTCTTTTGCTACAGCACTCTCTCAAGCATGCAACAGGATTCATAATCCAATTAACAAGATTAAAAGCATACCTGTCATTTTTTGATTTAACCCAAAAAAAGGATCTCATCTGGATGAGCTCAAATAGCTTTCCCGCATCAATCTTTTTTCCTTGAAATAGCTTTTGATTTCTGGCCAGCCACACCATCCATACGACCAAGAAATGCAATTGCTCTTCACATGATTTTATGCATTGTTTTTGTTCAAAATCCTTTTTTTTTTTTTTTGATAAATACAAATTCAATTAATTTGATATACTAAACCCATACCACATGCTTCAAGCCCAATGATGACTTCCTTTTCCCTTTTTGTTTTCATTACTTTTCATCAAGTATTAGAGCAATTAATCTTTTACTTTCTTCTCTATACTTTTTACACATTAATTATGGTTTTACACAAAACTTTTTTCTATACACTTTTCACACGTTAACATATAATCCAATATTTCAATAAACATTAACTTATTTCATATCACAAAACTTTCTTCTCTACACTTTCCACACGTTAATATATAATCCAATATTCCAAAAAAACCTTGACCTATTCCACACGTTGATATACTAAACCCACACCACATGCTTCTAGCCCAACGATGACTTCCCCTTTGCCCTTTTGCTTTCATTCCTTTTCATCAAGTATTAGACCAATTAATTTTCCACTTTCTTCTCTACACTTTTTATAAATTAATTATAGTTTCACACAAAGCTTTCTTCTCTACACTATCCACCTATTAATATATAGTCCAATATTCCAAAAAACCTTGACTTATTCCACATGTTGATATACTAAACCCACACCGCACGCTTCTAGCCCAATGATGACTTCCCCTTTCCCCTTTTTCATCGAGGATTAGACTAATTAATTTTCCACTTTCTTCTCTACACTTTTTATACGTTAATTATGCTTTCATACAAAACTTTCTTCTCTACACTTTCCACCCATTAATATATAGTCCAATATTCCAAAAAACCTTGACTTATTTCACATGTTGATATACTAAACCCACACCACATGCTTCTAGCCCAACGATAACTTCCCCTTTCCCCTTTTGCTTTCATTCCTTTTCACTAGAGCAATTAATTTTTCACTTTCTTCTCTACACTTTTTATACGTTAATTATAGTTTCACATAAAACTTTCTTCTTTACACTTTCCACACGTTAATATATAGTCTAATATTCTAGAAAACCTTAACTTATTCCATGTCTTCCGGTTGAAGAATTCTTCATTACAATAATGGAATACTACATCAATAGCATTCTAACCAATAAAATGTTTATAAATCATAAGATTCTTTTTCCATCACATTCATTAGAAGTTTCTCATGCTAGTTCTTGTTAATTATGGTTTCCACAAAAGACTAGATTATAAACAACTATTAGTTGTCACATATCAACTTTTAATTGTGAATTGTCTTGAAATAGCTAAATCAAATAGGATAGGAACTCTTGACTTTATTTTTTTAATGAATTGTTTTTCATTCAGCCCTTTTCATTGCCCAAATCATAACTTGTGAAGTTCGTCTTCTCTACTATTCTACCATGCTCACTAATAACTTTTCAACAAGGATAAAAGAAAATAAAAGAAGTTACTGTAACATTAGGTCATTTTCCTAAAAGTTTTTTTAAAGGTATTTATCTAAAAACGGTAGAACCCAAATGAGATGTTAGGATAATGAAAATAATTGTGAGAAAGGTTGAGACTTTACAATTTCTCAAAGTGAAAGAGATCACTATTTGTAGTTAGATTGGCTTTAAGACAATTCCTACTAAGATCAAGGCCAATCACGTGACCTTTCACCTTGTTTCATGTGATGCCTTCCCACAAGCAGCAGTCTTTACTCTCATTCCAAGTTTGTATTATAAGACAAGCACCACCAAGACAGTCTTCCATCAAATTAGTAGTGCTTTTGAAATCAAGCAATGCAGAACACTCTTCTAGACGACACAAATGTGCTGATGAATCAAGAGAAGATTGAGAAGGTGAGGAGCTTTGGATTGAGAAGGTGAGGAGCTTTGGACTTGAAACCGTAACAACATGAAGGAAAGGCAGAGGATTTGGGAAAACCTTATTAAACTTGCCATTTTCTTAAAGATGAACACAAGCCGGCAAACAAATGAGTGATGGATTATTCAAACTTGTAGGGCTAGACGCAAGAATTGATGGTCTTCCCAAGAGTGAAAGTCCTTCAGCTTTTCCCCGAAATTACGTGTAAATTTCTTTAGCACAGTTATATTTTTTCTTTATCATTTTATAAAAAAATAGTTTTCACACAATTAAACTTACTTCTATAATTTAATAAATAGTAAAATGGTTTGCAGCCGATAACGTCAACTTAAAATAGTGGATTGAATTATTGAACGACACCGTTTCAAGTTAAGGCCCTTGTCCCAAGTTTGCTTTTCTCGTCTAACTTTCCCTTGTTTCCAAAAATTTATAAGCCCTATTAGCAAGGAGGTATTTTCTTGGTGTTTGGGCAGCTTCGCAGTCCAACACTGTTGAAGTCCTTAGCTGCTTCCACACCTGAAAATCCTGAGGTTGTTTCCTCGAGGAAAACACTCCGACGCTCAAGTCAGCAATACTCAATATTCTAGAGAGAGATGCTCTCAAGGAGTAATTGCAGAGAGAGAAGCGTAGAGATTAATTACCTTCATCGGAGGTAGTTGGGGGGTATTTATAGCCCCTTGGTGCTGACATACATCTGCACGTGTGAGTATTCCATTGGCCCACGTGGGTATGCCTGTACTGATGTTCCCTCAGCTTGGGCTAATAGGTGGTAGTCTAGGCCCGTTATGCACAGCCCTATTCGGGTGTTGGGCCTATGCACAGCCCTGTTTGGGTGTTGGGCCTATTCCAACACTTAGCACAAGCAAAAAGTATACAATTGATTGGAAACAAAAATCCCCAAAACAGGCTTCATTTCTTTCTTTATCTCATTAAAAACCCAGAAACAAATACCAATCATTTGAATACCCTATTCGAAATTCAAATACACAGATGAGAAAAAGCAAAAAAGGAAAGGCCCAAGAAAATACCTCTGCTCATAAGTCATAAGATTTATCTTTTATCGGCAAACGATCCAACAAAACTGCCAACCAAGAAAACTTACTTTTAACTGGGTGAACCTATTCCACAACATTTGTTTTTTGGTCATTCTTCCTCTATGATTCCAAGCGGAGATTTGAAAAGGAAATTGAAAAAGAGTGGAACATTTACTCCTTATAAAACTAATTATAAATTTTTATAATAATAATTACCATTATTACCACTGTTGTTATAAATTCATATTATTACCATTTTATAATTAGTTTCAGTTTCCAGATGAACTTATATACCCTTTTTTTTCATATTATTAACATTTACTCCTTATATAAGATACAAAAATTCATTTACAAACATCGGCAAAAAGTAGAATTTTTTCTACGGAGTATAAAAACTAATAAGTGGAGAAAATAACAAAATAAAGGCCGAGGCCAGAGGCGAAGAATATTGAGAGGTGGGACCTAAGACTAAGTAGTAGTCCGCATTTATCGGGCCACGTATCACGGCGTGCATTAGCTGTACGTTATAGCGGACTCGACCGCCGTCGCCGGTCAATGTTTTACACTTAATTATCCCAATCTTTTACTCTTATTACATTTATTTATTTGTTTATCTATTAATATACTAAAGTCAATGTTCAAATATGGGAAACTCGGGAAGGTTTCAACTTTCTACTTTTCGTTTTCAGATTTAAACTTAATCCATATTTCTTAACGGTTTTTATAAATGCACATATTAACTACTTGTAATGAATATATTTTTTATGTATAAAATACATAAATGTTAATTTTAGCTTAATTAATTAGTTAATTAAATACATCATTTTGAGTAATTGATTTTTTATGAAAACGTGTTAATTCATATTATTACCATTTTGAGTAATTAATTTTAGCTTAACTACAATGATAATAATGGTAATAATATTATTACCATTTTTATGATAAACAAGCATATCTCAATAAGTAAAACAATAGTCCATTTAATTAAATTTGGCAAGGAAAACTTCTTAACGACTGCAAATAAAGGTCTACAGAATATTGGTTAAATTTGCTTTCAATTTTTAGTATAAATTGAAAATATTTTAATAAAAATTTAAAGGTCCACAGAAGTAATACAAGTTGTACCACTTATAATTTGACTAAAAATATTTTTAATATATCCATGAATAGGTGAATGAGTTGACACGGGACTCTTCCAACTTAATCAAAGGTCTTGGTTTCAAGTTCTGGAAATGCAATTCCGTTAAAACTCATGAAAGAGAGTTTTGCCACTCATTGGGTCCTGCATGGCTTGAATCCGAATTAATCGGTCACCAATGGGCTTGC